AAACGTGTAACCATGATACTTGCGGAATACCAATTATTATACCAGTTCCAATTTTAGACGGCTGTCATTAACAGTGAATTTTAAAGGGCTCGAATCCCATTTTCGGCGATCCCCAAAGAGTTTTAGTGAAATGAACACATAAACAATCATGGGCCCTCACTAAGGCGTTCGTCGATGGTTGCATTCGAGCTCCAGGGTCCAGGCCTGCAGCCGCTGGAGAAGGCTCTGCTCAGCGTCTCTATCTCCATCTCCTCGGCGGTTTTCTGCGCCACGTTGGCGTCCGGGCAGCGGTCCGTGCGCGCCACCTTCGCGTGTAAGATTAAGAGAAAATCAGATTGCAAGGCCGGATTTAGGGGAGGGCAACCGGGCCATCAGCCCTCCTTTGTTGCTCCGAGGCCCCCAGGCCTCTAAATCTGGCCCTGTCAGATTGAATGGAAAAAGTAAAAATAATAATAGATCTTTTGATGACTCCGTGGCCCAGTTGCCAAGGTATTGGCTTAGGCGTCGGGGGGTCGTGGTTTGATTCCCACGCGGGACAACTATTTGTTTGACCCACAGATAGTTGTTTCGCATCTGGGTGTTTGTCCGCGTGAACGTCCTTACAACATCGTACAATAACTAAAAGAGACAATAATTTTAGAAAGGAGATGACTTGCCCTATCAATATTTTTGACATTGCACAATACTTAACAAAATGGCGGCATTGATTTATTGGTATCCAGTGAACGATAATAAAACATGGAAGCCGAACGTCCATACAAGTATTTGTTAATAAATAGCACCACAACTGTCAGTAACAGATCAATAATACACTGAATTATGCTAAACAAAAATAAACTTATTTGTTAGTTGTAATAAGTCTACATCCGTAGCCGGTACGGTTTGTAAGCCCCGCGCCGTCACGTTATTGTTTTTCGTTATGTCATTTTGGAGCGAATAATGCTTCCATGTTGCGTTCAGTGTTAGCATCACAGAGCAAGCCTGATGTATCATTAATGAGTTAAAGTAGGACCGCTCTTAAACAACTGTACCTATATGAAGCCAAGCTTAGCAAAGAAACCTCTCAGAGCGGACAAAATTTAGCAAATTTTACGTTTTTCTAAAGCGGGAACTTTTAAGGCGCTGTATGCGGTAAAAATAGGTTTTTCAAAAGATTTTTTAGCAAAATCTAAACATTTTATAGCAGCAAAAAAATATGTTAATCTTGATCGTACATTCTAAGGGAACATTGTTTCCAAAACATATTCTCGATATATTTTCTCGATAGAAAAAAATCATGAAACTACCTCTAAAAGAGAAATTCAAATCCAAAAATGAACGTAATACATCAACAAATCTTAATGAAATTAATATCAGTGGTGTAGAATATATTAATAAAAAGGATTGTTGTTTTAATTTTTGATTGATGTAAGATATTTCTAAATATTAATTTAATTCATTAAAATTAATTCGAACGCGATGGGCAAAACACCGCGCCACCGCGGCGTTGTTTCGGCTCTCTTCCAACTCCACACGTTGAACAGAGAGCGCTGAGGCGCCTTGCTAGATGGATTTATGCCGCTCGTCTTCCGCTCACCGTTACGAAATATGTTCCGTATTTATTTATTATTGAGGGTTATAATTTTATTAGATCTTTCGAAAACACGAAAACTAAAAAATATATATTCACATATTTCATATTTTAAATTATATGAAATATTATATTCTAATATAATATTTCATATAATTTAAAATATGAAATATGTGAATATATATATTAATATATTATATAATATTAATATTAGAATTAACAACTAAAGCGTAATTTTTTCAATATCTTATCTTGTCATTGATAAGTTTATCAGTCCTATACAAACAGTGTAAAGGCAGGGATGCCAATTTAGGAATTTTCTTCCGAAATTTAGGAATAAAAAATGTGGAATGGAAGTTTATTGGGAGGTAAATTTTTATGGCAATATTTTTTAGGAGTTAAATTTTATTCACATTTTCGAAAAAAACTACACAAAACAACTTATTTAAAAAAAATCAGTGCTGCTTTGGATGACGTCAGGCCAAGGCCTATGTGTCTGGTATGAATATTTTATGTATTCTAATAATTTTTTTTAATATTGTTTTGATTTTATTATTAACATATTCATTTCAAATGAATTATATTATATTTGATGTTCTAGACCATGGTTTATTTTATCAGAAAATTATTTTCCTTTTCCTATAATATAAAAAAATCCTGATTTTTAATTAAGAAATTTTTGTTTGAATTTAATAAATTTTAGACGGTTTTCCAATTGTTTTAGGAGTGTTATTTTTGAACAGTTTGTAACACTGTGTAAAGGACCATCATTCTATAGGGATTGATAAATTAAAGATATAAAATTTAAGAAAATATGTCATAAAAAGGTCGTATTCGTAATTTCCGCCGTGGAGACTATGAAATTGCGTAATTAAACTTTAAATGAAAATAAATAATTATTCGTTTATTTATTGTTTTGTTGTAAGAAATGTCATTTGCCTTTATTAATTTATTTGACCTTAAGATGTATTTTTAATCAATTGTAATCCGTTTCCTGATAATTTAAAATAATTAATGGGAAGTTTTTCTAAAACTGTTGATTGCTTTCTCATACTTTATATTTGTTTGTTCATTATTATTCCTATAATAATATAAAAATAAGTACAATCATGGTCTATAAAAGATATTATAGGGATCATCTGTGTACATTTTAGAAAGCCATTTTCCATGATACTATCGATAGTGTCCTACGGCCCATCACTACACACTAAGTAATGAATGGTCTAGCAGCGCGTTGACGAAACTCGCGCGCTGCGCGCCGCTAAGCGGCGTTACCCCTCCTCCGCTTCCTCATACTTCACCACCCAAATAGTTAAAAATTCACTGCATACAGCGCCTTAAGCGCAGAAATCAGAGATTGCGCATCAGCCCACACATTGCACATTTATTCGTACTGTTATGTGGGATTTGTAAAACCACTTTTTAAAAAAGAAATTTATTGATAGAGACACTGATATAATTAACAATAAAATAGAAAAACTGATATAATTAACAAGGAAATAGAATAACTCCCGAAAAATGGCACGGCGCGTATGGATGTTGAACTCGAACTGAACTGCAGTGAGCTTGAGATATGCTCCTGAGGATAGGATTGCTTACTAAGCTCTCGGTTTCATGACTATTCTATACAATTAGTGTATATAACAGTACGATCTAAATGCACCAATGATATATCGAACAGTTGGGTGATATATTCTGTGGGTGACTGCAATAATTATCAATTGACTCTAATAGAGTATTTTACAGTCTTCTATTACATTAGTAAGCTTAGTCTAGTCAGTACAAAAAACAGTGTCTAAGCGTACATATGTCTTTGGACTGCGGAGCACATATCAGTTAGAACGTTGTTCTATTCTGAATCTCAATATCTATAAGTCAGACGAAAAAAAATGTTATTGGAAAGCGTAAACAATAATTAAGACTTTCCGACGATAAAATCAAATTCGTTCTATGTTACCACGGAACGTTATTCTACGCAGGGTGCGAATTGGTGTAATTAGATTGCAATTGTATAGACTGCTATCTCTTTCCGTATCATACGTTCTATATGATCTGTCACATTCACACTTATATTTATGTCATTTAATGTAAAACGGAACAATTTTTAAACGCCGCGCAGTATGGTCATGCGTCATCAAAATTACCAAACAGCATTCAGTTGTGGGCTAACTGTTATGAGAAAGATACGCACCACTCGTTCGAAAGCCTTCAACACTCTCGGAGACCAGCGTATCTCGGATTCATCGAAGCCTGGATGGCAGTATTTGCCACCGATCAAACCCTCCAGACCGCCAGTGTGGGAGTTGGGCACTATCGCAACCGCTTCGAAGGCGTAGGGCTCTGAAATTGGCATTAGAATGTATATATTAAATGAAACTAGTTTACGGATTTCGACCCCTTTCCATGAACTCTGGAAAGGGTTCGAAACGTCGGGAGTTCAAATCAAAATAAAAAAACGTAATAAAATCCGTAAACTAGTTTCATTTAATATGTAAGTATAATATTCGGAAAAATCAAGAAAACAATATTAGAATGTATAACTGAAAACCAGCGCTGTAGTCTCGTAGCGACTGCGGCATTAAGCTGAGTGCGGTCTGTTTGCCGTATACGCCACACACAATTGTGTGCGTAAAATGTGTGATGTGTTTAATATTTTTTTATTCCTCTTTTTTTTCTTTTTACTATGTATTTTTTATGTTTATGGTTTAAATGTACATGTGGCGTATTTGAGCAATAAATGTTTTCTTTCTTTCTTTCTTTAACTCATCCGCTAATAGGACCGTAATAGCTCAGAGTCCGAGCGCTCGCTTTTATTTCAATACAAGCGATCCGCCCCCGGCTTCGCACGGGTGCATTACTGAATGTTTTTCGACATTGCATTAGCAACCTCTAAAATTAACGTTGCGTAGTTTTAAAGATCTAAGCATACATAGGGACAGACAGACAGCGGGACGACTTTGTTTTATACTATGTAGTGATTACGCGAACAATCCCCAGTTCAAATCCCGGCGCCGGCAATTTCTTTTTTTATAGATGTCTTTTTTAACTTTTGGATAACATTATCCTGTGTTGGACGTTTTACAAACATAAATTTCACGTGGACAGACACCCAGATGCGAAACAACCACCTTTGGGTCACACAAATAGTTGTCCCGTGTGGGAATCGAACCCACGACCCCCGACGCCGAAGCCAATACCTTGACAATTGCGCCACGGAGTCAATGAAATTTTTAAATGACACTTTAAGCGCTGAATTATCACGTGCTCTTTACTCACCGTAATCTCAGTATACGTATTATGAAGTGAAATAATATTGTTTGAAAACGCATCACATATTTTTAAACGAAATTGAGAAGAAGGTCGCTGGACAAACCTTGCCTGTTGACGTCCCTGATCGTAGCGACGATCCGGTTATCGTTCGGCTGCTGCTGCGATAACAGCATCATCTCCTCCTCGGAGAAGACGCCGAAGTCCGCCGCGTTGCGGGAGAGTTTCAGCGCGCAATCGACCCTGAAAGGGACGCCGAGGAAATGAGTCCCACAGGCTTTTTATGAGAGAACGTGGTAGGAGAGTGGGTGGATCACCATTGATAGGTTATTACTGTCCATGGACACAACCAATAGTTTGCTGTTGCAATGAGAACATAAGAGATAGGTCCTTGTGGGCTGATATATGTTGTGGCTGTGGCTATATGCACGAGTGTAAACACTCATGGTGGAAGTATGACAAATACTTTCGCGTTTCGTCTGGTTTGTGAGGTAGCCGGAGCCCAATTTTCAAAAGATTGTCAACGCATCTGTAACCCTTGGGTGTAGTAGATGTCCATGGGTGACGGTATTCACTTACCATCAGGTGAACCGTCTGCTCGTTTGGCAACTTTCAGATTTAAAAAAAAACTCATACTTTCTCTGTCTTCTGTGAAGACGTGATGCTGTGAAGTTAAGATGATTCAGTGCTATTACTAAGCTACTGGCTACCACAAAGGTTAGCAAAAAGTGTTTTCGATTCCTTCACGGGACAAGTAGTTTTTTACCCACCGATAACTGTTGCAGTTCTGGATTTTTATTTCAAAGGCATCTGGATACTGTTAGATGTGGTAAGGGGAGGAAAATGTGGACAATAATCCATACTAATATGCGAAAGTAACTCTATCAAATTGTCTCGCTTTCACGCCAAAACTACTGAACCGATTTAAATGAAATTTGGTACACAGATAGTCTAGAGCATGAGAAAGGACATAGGGTATTTTTAAATTGGATTTTTTTTAAAGATAGATATTTATTTAAGGGCTTCAACGTGAGCGAAGCCGCGATCGAAAAGCTAGTGAATTATAAATTTGGATCAGGACTGCGTCAACTGTGAGATGATGAGGGTGATGAAAGTGATATTGATAATTGTGATGATGATGGCGACGGTGATCAGACTCATGGAGCTGGTACTTGTTCACTATTCACAATTTCACTCACGGAAATTTACTTCATGTTTGTAGTTGAACTTAATATCCCTTTCATTTTACCTCGACTCGACAGGCTCACAAACTGCTTGGCTCCCATCTTTGTCAAGGTTCTGACAGAGTACCGGATTTGAATTGGAGACGCAAACTTTGTCTGAAAATTAAAGAAACATATTCACAATAACGTTAACAAATGTTGGATCTATAGGCGCGTCATTAAAAATAGCGTTTAGTTATCGTGAATAAGGATAATGTGTATGCATTATATAATAGGCGAGGCAAACGATTTAACATTAAAGCAATCATACGCTAGCCATTTTGTTAGAATTGTAAGTACCTATAAAAATTTGGGTCAGTGTCTCATTAATTGCGTGAATAATACGGGACTAACGCCCAGTTTCTGAAACAATGATCATAGTAGAAGTCAAGTAATCAGCTGTCAAGTGGCTTTTCTAATGTTATTCAAGTTGCCGAAAGGATGGTTAAACTCTTTAAATTGATCATTCTAATCATTAAGATAAATTCAGAGAGTTTAACCATCCTTTTGGCAACTTATTTAAGACTGGCTGTGCCCGCGACTACGTCCACGTGGAATTTTAAATAATAAAAAATCTAAAATAAAAGTAGCCTAAGTTAATCCTTATTACGTCAGCTATCTGCCAGTGAAAGTGCCGTCCAAATCGGTCCAGCCGTTTCAGAGATTAGCCGGAATAAACAGACAGACAGACAGACGAAAATTGTAAAAAAATTAATTTATATAATATAATCGTAATTCAAATAACACTTATTTTCACATACATATAAGGTTTAACATTTATTTATTGGTTAGGTTCGTGGTCGTCTATTTTTATATATCAGTATATTGGTGAAATAGGTTAGGTTCAGATTGAGTCACAGATCCGACAATTCTATGTGGTTTTGTGGTCCCTACTCCTAGAGGACAGGTAAATATGCGGAGCCAGAAGCTCGCGTCGGAGATCCTGACTGACGCTATGTGACCATTGATTACTCCTATACAAATCGATTATAAATAATTTTATACTTTTTAAATTCGAAATATTCGTATGTATTAACATTAATGTTTATTCTCATTAAATACGAAAAATGAGGTTCAAAATTGGAAACGTTGAATACCGTAAGTATTTAACTTATTCAACGTTTGTTAAAAAGAATGCCTAAATTTGTAGAAATTCGTAGTGTGTATTAAATTTGCACCCATATCCCCTAAGAAAGGACCAGCATACTACATATGTGAAGTCTTCCAATCCGCAGTGGGTCCGCGTGGATGGTGGACATTGCCCTAATACTACTCTACACAGGCTCATTTATGGGCTGTTACTTTATTTTTCATTGTACGCGCTCTCCTGGAAAACCGTAACCCGGCAACTCATGGGAATGAGCCATTATTGATCCACACCACTACCTCCTTCACTGCCTCTTTCAAACCATTCCTCGGTAATAAAGTAACCGTTCATTAAATCTTGTCGACACGTAAAAATATTAACTGTTTAAAATAAATAATAAAAACTGTATAAAAAATATTAACTGTTGTAATATTAACTAGGGATTTACATTTTTATTGCAACACATAGCTGCAACGCAACCGCCCTCCATGGGCGTTCTAGATATTCATTGGTGGCAATTAAATCTAACATCTGGTAAGCAGTTTGTTAGTTTTTAAACAAAATCTCTTTAACAATCGATCCTGGCGAAGATTCATAATCATTATCATCATCATTACAGCCTGTTCAAGTCCACTGCTGAACTTAGGCGTCCTCCACAGACTTCAAGGAAAAATTATGTCCATAAATGTTAATATGTTCCCAAAATTTCATGGTTAATATAAAGGACATTGACGGGGAAATAAATTTTAAACGATAGAGAAAAATCACTGATGAATTAATTCACGTGCACAATTCTCCATTATTTCATTGTTTCACTAAGAAAGTCCGCCATTTTATTAATCTGACTTCAAAACTCAATACACAGTCCTGCCAATATGATAAATATAGGAAGCTAGCGACGTTATACTCGTATCGATTGTTTGATTTTTTTTTAATTTTAATGAGTCACAGAACCAATACAGAGCTATCCGAATCGGATAGATTAGGTTAGAAGGTTAAGGCGGGGGCTCCGCTCGAGCTCCGCTAGTCTTTGTGGTAATCTTTTTATGAGCACCCTGAAATAGGAACACAATTGACATAGTCAATATGTCATAACAAAATGGCGGATTTCTATAGTGAAAATTACAATATATCAATACATACTTTTTTTCGAAAACTATTAGCGTCCGGATAATTCTGATTGTTGATTAATTCATTATTGATTTTTCTCTATCGTTTTAAAATTTATTTTAATTGCAATACGCGCCCGTCAATGTCCTTTACATTTACTAATTTTATATTTATGTCCATAAGTGTACATTATATTCAAGTATAAATAACTACGTACAATGTTACTGTAAGGTGAAGCTGATAAAATCAAAAATAAAATGCATCCGGGTATAGATTACTGCAGATTGCTGAGAGCTGTGATAAATCTTATTTCAAACGCTTTCAGTTGTTGAATATTAACCAAATGAGACGTATCGTATCATATAGATATAATATGTAATACGAGTTTTCATTACGATTATTGTGTTTTAGTTTATCTCAGGTCGAAGCACTTTTAATTGTGTCTAAAATCTATTTAGTGGAAATCATTGACCGGGAGTCAATCAATCTAATACTTGACATAATTTTTTAATTTACACTTTCACTTTCCCGTGGGATAGCCACGGGAAAGTGAGAAACGTCGAAATAAATCATTAATTATAATTACTGTGTTTTACATACATATTTTTGGAAATGCTTGGCCCCAACTAGTGTGTTTCCTTTACAGCAAACGACCACATTTTCATATTATGACGTTTAACTATGAAATTTTTGAATACTATAGACAATGTTATTATACAGGGAGATTTTTTGAGAAGTGCCCAAATTTACACAGAAGGCTCAGACTCGGTAGTATAATTGTTTATCGAAATAAAAAACAAAGTATTTTTTTTTCCAAAAAAAATGCCATTCTATTCCCTAAAAACAGAACGTGTTGGCAATGCGGTAGTCATTCATAAATACCTAAATTTTACTGTGTGCGTGTTAGTTATGAATGATCGCGCGTAAAATAAATGAGTTGCGTATAAATCACGCACTTTTTGAGATAAATTCAAATGAATGTAATTAATTACTTACGAGTGATTTTAAATATTTATCATTTTTATATAACATTATTTATGTCTAGAGTTTAATAAGAAAAATAGATACATTTAGAAAAGCCACCCTGTATACAATTGATATAACACTAGCGCACCGTAACTGAGGCACTCAAATTACATTATTTTGTGTAATTCTATAGCCTGCTATCTCTCTCTGTAGCATAATTTAAATATCATCTGTCACATTCACTTATATATGTCGTAAAGCGGTATAAAGCGGAACAATTTTGAAAAGCCATACAGTATGGACATGCGTCATCTATATTAATAAACATCATTGAATATACATATATGTCACCTATATTAAAGTAGTTTTACGAAAAAATACAATGTCTTTTACAGTCTATTTCACCACAAATCACTGATCTTGAAATTTGAAAAATTTTTAAAATGATCTTTATATTTTATTATAGTTTAACGTCTGGCGATTTCTCCATACAGACAATTCGTTATTACCACCATCTCTACTCTCACCTTTGCTATTAAAATTTTAATGACATGTAGTAGTCGTTTGCTGTAAACTTACAATACTTTTTGAGGTTAGAATAACTAAATAAATCGATTTCATCATCATCACCATCATATCAGCCGTAGGACGTCTACTGCTGAACATAGGCCTTCCCCATTGACTTCCACTTCGACCGGAAGCGGTAGCGACTTGCATACAACATTCCGCTTCGTGCTCTCGTACGGAACGGACGTCTCTCTAAGACGGTGGGCTCATGCCACCCGAATTAGACGCTACTCGCAACTTCGGTTGCAAATTAAATCTATGTGCAAGCAGTGCTGCAGTTTAGTGTTAGTGTAGTGTTGTGCTCGTAGGCAGGTTCCTGTTCTGTAAGTAGAATTCTATACACACTTCTCGCCTCAGAGGCGGCATTGTTTTATTTAATAACTGTGTGCTTGATGCGATAGGCGACAGCTAGGTACCCACCCTAGCGCACCTAAAGCGCAGGTGAAATAGTTGTTAGTTTTAGGCACACAGCTCCCTGCCGCAAGGTGGGGAGGCCTATTTAGAAACTACACGCCGGCGGGGCGCAAGCCCCAAAGGTTCAAGCGCCGTTATGGGTTCACTCTTAGAGGAATTCATTCGCAGGTCGCATTCAGGGAGGTCTCGCTCGACATCGAGTCGATAGAGACAATCCATGAACTAGACTCAGACCACAGGCCCGTCTTGTGTAAACTGGGCCAGAACGCCGGCGCGGTCCCTCCGACCAAATCCGTAGTGGACTGGCATCGTCTTGAGGTCAAACTCAAGGCCTTGGACCCCCAGGACTTAGTAGACTTACCCGAGACGATAGCTACGTTCGATGACGCAAATCGAGCGATAGCGAGTCTCCGAGAAACTATTACTTCCGCAGTCACAGACTCGGAACGGTCGGTGAAACTGTCGGGCGACCGACGGTTTAACTTTCCGCCCGACCTAAGACTGCTAATTAGATAGAAAAATGCAGCCAAACGCGCCTTCGACCGATACCGATCGGAATCGAAACGAACCCTACTTCGACGCCTTCAGCTAGAAGTCAAAGATCGTGTATCGGAACACCGACACACAACGTGGGACACTCTCCTAGAGAACATCGAGCCATCGCACACTGCCTACTGGCGGTTGGCCCGCAGTCTGATAGCAGACCCCCGCGAATCTCTACCGCCGTTAGTTAGACCTAATAGCACTTCAGTAGCCCAAGATGACTCCGAAAAAGCCGAATGCCTTGCGGACAACCTAGAGCAGCAATATACGCCATCGCGCGAACACAGTTCAGTCCACCTAACGGAGGTGGACCACGTAATCGAGACTAGGGCTGCGCTTCCACCGGAAGGCGAACCTTTAAATTCAGTGACCCCCGAAGAGGTCCAAGATATTATTAAAAATTTAAAACCAAAATCCGCCCGGGCCCAGATAATATAAGTAATAAAATTCTCAAAGCTCTCCCTGGGCCGCTTATCTGTTTACTGGCGACCATTTTCAATACCCTTCTCTCCAGTTGCTCCTTTCCGGACGACTGGAAGCAAGCCACGGTTATCGGCATTCGCAAGCCGAATAAACCAGCTAATCAGCCCTCTAGCTATCGTCCCATCAGCCTCCTCAGTTGCCTGGGGAAGCTCTACGAGCGGCTCTTGTAAACAGGCTCAAAGAGCACGTTTTCCAACGGCCTTCTGCCGACGGAACAATTCGGCTTTCGAGCTAGACACTCATGTCCCGACCAGTTATACCGCCTAACGGAGCACATCCTTAAAGGCCTAAACTACCCCAAACACATCAGCACAGGGGCTCTCTTCTTCGATGTCGCAAAAGCATTCGACAAAGTTTGGCACAACGGCTTGCTTTAAAAGCTGTACACACTCAAAGTGCCAGATAGGCTCGTACACAACATCCGGGCCTTTTTGTTGAATCGCTCTTTTCGATATCGAGTCGAGGGCACCCTCTCCACAAGCCGCCGCCTCACGGCCGGCGTACCACAAGGCTCCTGCCTCTCACCTTTGCTCTTTACGCTCTACACGAGCGACATACCCAAAGACCCCCACGTCAATCTCGCGCTTTTCGCGGATGACACTGCGCTCTTTTATTCAGACCGCAACCTTAGAATACTAACCACTCGACTCCAAAGCGACGCCGACCGCCTCGGCGATTGGTTCCGCAAATGGAGAATAGAAATAAATCCCGAAAAGAGTGTGGCGATTCACTTCACACGAAGTACTTACCCGTCAAATCTTTATAATGGCCCTCGCACATGCAGAAAGTTGGGGCAAATATCCCTATATGGCCAACCGCTCCCCTGGGAGAAAAAGGTCAAATACTTAGGAGTCACTTTCGACTCGCGTATGTCATTTACTACGCACATTAATACCGTTCGTAAATGAAGCCGCGTTCGTCTCCGGCCGGCTACACAATTTAACTAACGCTAAAAGTAAAATGCCCTTAAGGCACAAATGATTATTATATAAGACCTGCGTACGACCTATTGTGTCTTACGCATGCATGATCTTCGCCCATACGTACCCTACTAGCTTGTACAAGCTGCAAATAGTACAAAATTTGTCC